CATTTGAAATAAAGAGCAATCGAGTCATCTAACACATTTTTTAGAAGGTCATATACATGTGGGGGACTTATTTGAATGTTGATATTATTTTACGTTATAGTTATTCACTCACTGTATTACTTAAATTTTAATTCCTGAACGATGTTACTAATGACATAAGATTTTCTTATAATGTCATTTAACTAGATCTTGATTTCAACGATTTCATATTGATTTCTTCAAGGAGAGTCCAATTGATTTTTCGGATTGTATAGCCCCTCACATTAGAGTAATTGAGTATAAAACTCAACGCAAGGAACAGCGTGCTTAAAGCAGTCAATTGTTTCGAAACATCGATACTCCACGTTGGAATATATATATTTCAGAAGTGTTGCGTCATTCGTAGAAAAAAAAAAAAAAAAAAAAATAGAGCAAACTCGAGAGTACATCTGCACTTCGCGTCGTGCTGGTCTCTGAACTCTCTGGCAACAATGCGACGCGCCCGTCAACGTATTACCCTTGTTGCTCCGCTGTGTGTGCGTTGAATCGTTACTTGAAAATGGAACGCGTTCACATAACGTGTTTCACAGAGATTTATCCTCTGCGGACTTGTTACGGATACGCGCTGCATTGTAATGTGTGGAAAAATGTTTCACGCCAACACGTCGTTTTTGTGTGAGTGACGAGTAAAAGATTTCATGTTGATTGGATTGATTGGAAATTTTTATCTCTTGTATACATTTAGTACTTTCGTTGCAAAAATAAAACAAACTAGCTTTGAATTTCGTTTCAATGATCAATCCAATTTCTCGCTGACACGAGACTTTTGACAGAATAAAGCTTTCATGAAACAATTGTGCACATTAAAAGTCCAGGGGCTACATTTTCTATGAAATCAAGGGGATCTCCGTTAACAAAATCAATTGAAATCGTTTGTGAATGTATACGTGATTTGAAATCGAAAGAAATTCCGTTCGAAATCTCGTGAATGAATTTTTCAAAATTCCTTACTTTTATGTGGTTAGATTATTTATTTATTTGGAAATCAATGTTAAAAGCCTGTTATTCAAGCTCAATTTGTTATGAAATAAAAAAAGTGAATGCTTTTTGTGAGGTACCAAACGAAATCACTGTGAAATCATTGAAATTTTTTAAAATCAAAAATCACGTTTAAACGTGGAAAATACATTCTTCAATTGAAACACAACAACAAAAAACAACTAACAACCGAGAACACCAATGTCCTCAAAAAGTACAATTAAAAAAGTCTAAATCCGGATTGCCTGGCAAAATGGCACGCAAAACAAAAAAAAGAGAGAAAGGAAGAACTGTGCACCCTGCACATGTACCCGAGCGGTAGTCAAAACACAGTAGCGAGCGAATTAAATGACAAATACGCGAGACGCGACGCGCGGAGAAAAAGAGGATTATTTGCTGGGCTGCCACTGCACTACCACCACTGTACCACCTGCAGAGCAGCAGAAACAACAACTATAGGCACGGCAATGCTCTCTTTCTCTCCCTCTCGTGTGCCCCATTACCATAAACTCATCATTTATACAAGTGCGGCGAATCTCACTGCCACTACCGCATGCATGCGCCCCCGGTAGGGGAGGAAAAAGAGTAGCGGCTGAAATATATCGTCCCCTGCGTGTGGATGTGCGTGTATGAGCCTCGCTGCTACACCCACGGTTAATGGGTTGTACGCGTACGAGTGAGCGTTAGCCGCGGAGGTGCTGTGAGCAAGATTTTACCCGTGCGCGTGTTTTTTTTTTTTTTTTTTAGTTAGGGGTGGCTGAAGTTGTCGGACCGGAATGCCTTTTTTATGGAAGAGTGGGCGTGACGCGCTTGCGAGATTTAATTGATGGACGAGTGGGTCTTGTTTTTTAGTAACTTTGAGATACTGGTGGTACATTTTTTCTTTATCGCGGCGTTGTTTGCGTTTTTTCCTTTGTATGACGAGCTGTGGTGTTTGAGTTTGGAGGGTTTGCATTTTAGACTTGATTTACTCGAATTGTGGTAAATGATTGGCAAGGAGTGAGATTTTTGGAAATGTCAAGTGGAAAAGTTAAAAAATGACAAGTAGAGAGACATTAAAAAAAAAAAGGAAACACTTTTTAATTACCTATTTTTAGCGTAATTGGTAACGATGCTTAATATGTAATAATTTACATTATTTGACATAAATCGTATGAAAACAGATGCTTTATAGTATACAGCATACTTTTAGGTTAGTTTTAGGTTAGGTACACACATCACATAGCTAACAAATTCATTTGCTCGTTCACACACAGAGAAGCGTTGCATCAAATTTTCCAATTCATCTCCTGATGGGCTCTGCTTGTATTTCCGTTTAGCGCGAGAATTCAGATGATCAAGCAATAAAAAAAACCAACCTTTAGTCTCGAAAATCTGTCAATCACAGATGCCAAAAATCCACCATCGTATAAATTTTCCGCTCCATCCATCAAAAGCCCAATTTTCGTTCACAAACATACATATATACGAATATACATGTACGAGTGTGCAGGCGTTATAATGAAAAAAAAATTTAGTCTGCACATTCACGTGTCTAGGTTGAGGTTAACGCACACAACCATTGCAATAACACTCAAAGCTCTACGCTTATTTGCCATACGAGCTAATGACATCATTAAACGTATAATCACGAGCTCATGCCAGTTGTCATTTGTTTTATTTTTGTGGGTTTTTTTATTTTTCCAAAGTTTCAGGTCACACCACAATGTTGCGAGTTCAGAGCGGAAGGGAGACATGATTGATGCATCACGCTTCGTGGATTTTCATTAGAGCCGCGCTGATGACGCTTTTTGATTCGCTTCGATGTGTACGTGTAGGTACGGTTTTTTTAATAACAAGGAACACATAGGATATGGCCTTGATCATTTCAATGGATTTTTCATGAAAATAAAATCTTGCGTGATAATGTGTTCGCGACTAAAACAACTATGACATAGTTGGCCATTCGTGCAATGGAAGTTATTTCACGCTGACATTTTTTTTATTTCCTAAAATTTTTCACGCACTCCTAAACCGTTGCGAAACACTTGTGCATCAACCAAACGTCAAAACCAAACCAAACGAGAAGGTGCGGAAAAAAAAACTCCGGAACGCCGAGTAAGCACCATAAATCAGGAGACTGCATAACTCTGCCTTCAAAACCAGAGTTCCTCGGGAATCCCCGTAAAAGCTCTTCCTGCGAGATTCACGTTACCATAGCAAATAAGGAACAAACGAACAAACCAGGCAATTGGTTTGAAAATAAAACCTCACCCTGAAAAAAAGTATATATATATATATATATATACACACGTACTCGCGTAGTATACAGGGGTGGTCGGACGAATGGTTCACCCCCCCCCCCCGCAGGTAGGGATACTATTATTGTACGTGCGTTGAATTCATAACGGAGACGTCGCGATTTTTGGACAAGAAAAGAAAAAAAAAAAAAGAAAATAAATAAATAAAGT